CAAGGTTATTATAACTGAGAACACTTATTTTTAAAAAGCAGAGAAAGCTGAAACAAACCATATGCTGATTGCAGGAAATTTTTCCCAGCCGCAGATAAAAGCAAGGGGCAAAAAGGAAAGCGGGGGGGGGAGGGAGGGGAGGAGGGAAGGGGAAAAACAAAGAAACCAAACGTTAGTATGTTAAGGACATTACAAACTCAACCTCTGAACACCCAAGCAGAATGCATCTGGTGGCTATAATCCCTGGAAATCCCCTCCAACCTTTTTCTGATGATGATGATGATGATGGAGGAGGGGGAGGAGGGGGAGGAGATGATGATGATGATGAAGGAGGAGGAGGAGGGGGAGGAGGAGGAGGAGATGATGATGATGATGATGATATTTGGTGCAGTGACAGTTATCATTTGAAGAGAATGTCTGTAGCTCAGAGCTGAACTGTGGAGTCCTGGGTGCTCTCTGAGCGCGGTGGTTGCCTTGCAGATGCTTCATCTCCCAACTAGGGAACATCCATCATCAGTACAAGACAGTTGATGTTCCCTAGTTGGGTAATGAAATGTCTGCAAGGCAACCACCACGCTCAGAAAGCACCGTTATCAACTGCCAGTAAAATCCTCTATCCTGGGGAAGAGTAGCAAGTTGGGAGAAATAAAATAGAAATCCTCAGAGCCCATAAAAACTGACCCATCAGAGTTGCTTACTCTGTCCGGGTCTGACTTCAGCAGGAGCAACTGTAGTTTCTCAAGCAGAGCGATCTCCGGTTGGAGCTGCACAGAGTTCTCGCCTCACTTTGTTAGAAAATATGGCCAGCCAGGACAGACCAAGTCGCTCCTGGCTCCCACCCCTTAACGACAAGACTCCAGTTACAGATTCTTCCCCAAAGACAATTCGGTCAGTGGAAAGTTTGCTTCGTCCTTTGAAAGCTACTAATGGCTGGTTGTATGTCGGCAGCATCTCTCCCCAAGTGAGCTGCAGCACAGCTCGGCCCGAGTCTGTCAGACCCTTGGGCTTTTCTCCATGGCTCCTCTCAAAGAAGGGCCTCTTGGATGCTTTCTGGTACAACTAGCTCCAGATTCCACAACCAGATTGCTCCTCCTTCTATCTTCCACAGGAACAATGGGGGAAAGGCAATGCGTAGGAGCCATCTGCGCCGCCAACCCATTAAAAGCTATTTCACAGAGTTAGCAAAGCATCTGCACCCAGGAGGACAGAAGCAGTACCTTGCTCTCTGGGGCATCTTCCTTCTGGAGGTCACCACCAGATGAATCTTCTTGGAAAAGAAAAAGGAAATAAAGTGTTAGAAAGGCATGATATAAAGACTCCCTGATTTCACATGACCTTAATCAGAGACTGAAAACACGTGGGATTCTGGACTCTTTGGGAGCACACGAGAATGTGTTGATATTTAATTCAGTTGACTTGATCCCAAGGGACAATATCTGGCCATGCTTCTCCATGTTTGGATGAAACCACCCTGTTGGAGTAATGTACTCTGTCATACCTTGCATTGGGATCACTCAGGACTCATTCAACAGGTCATATCAGGTCTGCCTCGCGAGAACCACGTGGCTTTTCGTCTCTTTGTGACACAATGCAAGGTGCTGGCTCTTGCATTCAAAGAATGAAATGATTTGAGATGAAGGTATCTTTGCCTGACTGAATGTAATAATCTTCTTTGGAGGCCCTGTTCCAAATTCTGCTTTCGGAAGTAGGGCCAACAAATGTCCAAGGTATCATCTGAACACAGACACCAGCAGCCATTTATCAACAGCAGTGTTTTTCAAACTTGGCAACTTTAAGATGCGTGGACTTCAACTCCCAGAATTCCCCAGCCAGCATCCAAGATCTAGATCAGTGTTTCTCAACCTTGGCAACGTTAAGCTGTGTGGACTTCAACTCCCAGAATTCCCCAGCCATGAAAAACACTGATCTACAGCTACTCAAAGAATATTCCAGCATTTCCAAATCTTGATAATTTCCACATGTGGAGATCCCAAAGTTCTCAGCCACAGCCATGCTCCACTTCTGGCATTGGAAGCTCACACATCTGGCAGCAGCCAAGGTTGGAAAATTTACTAAATTCCCTAAGAGCACATTTGAAAAGAGGCAATAGGTACAAAACTCATGAATGACACGAGGACAGCAGCCACCCTTCCAAGTTCCTCACGGGGTGATGCCAATGGAAGAGGAGGGGGTTCAATCCTGAACTGCTCTCCTCCTTAACAGGATGGATGTAAAGATGATGTGGGTTTTCCCCACCCCATGGAGACTTTGGCTCTGTCTACTTTGAAGAATCCCTATTTAACTGGGCCGCCTGAGGGGATCCGAGGCGTGCAGGTATCCTGCATTCCAGAGCTGGCTTTACCTGAAGGGTCTTTCTGGCTCTCTTTGAGTTTCTGCTCCAGATTCTTTACTTTTATCTCAAGTTTAAACTTATCGGACTCCAGGGACTGAACTACAGAATGCAAATTCCTTGCAGTGGCATTCTCGCCACGGAGCACCATGACCTGCAAAAGTAAAAAAGGAAGAGGGAGGCCGGATGTAAACCTAGTAAGAGATCACAGGAGGAAACAAAGAGAGGGTGTACGATCAGCATTCAGTAGTATGGTTTGTCTGGTGGAGATAAGATGCAGAAGCTATTCAGTTTCTTCAGATGATGTCTCATTTCCCATTACGGAAAATTTAACTTTTCAGGTTAACAATGGCGGTGGGGGCGTAAAGGCAACCCGTCATTTTTCGTTGGTGAATGTTTCAATCAAGCACGGTAGGGCCTGCTATTTACACAAAGAACAGGCTTGCTCGACCACCCTAAGGACTTGGTGTGACAAACTGAAAATTAACTGCAACTCTCTGGCCCGTTCTTTTCTTATTGCTTTCTTTGCACTGCCCAGAGACGCTCCATTTGGGTTTTTGGTTTAACTTCCTCAAGACTCAATCCTGCGGGTTCTACATCTGGAAGGGAACGAATACGCCCCCACCGCAGCAGCCAAAGGCCTAGCTTCTACTGTGACTCCCTGCCACACATCCCTGGGTTTTGGTAAGCCTCAAGAAGGATCTGGCATTTGCCTGAACCTCGTTACTCTTTTCAGTGCTTTTCCTGCCTGAATTCCTGGCCCTGCCATCCTGCCAGCGCCGGCCCAGAGAGGACACTCTCTCCTTAAAGTCAGTACCCCTAGCAGCCATTGTCACTGCATGATGGTTTGTCCCTACCTAGTTCACAAGTTACATTTATTTGTCCATGCTGGGGAGGAAGCCTGCAATGACATGCATGAAGTGGAGAAGGGTGGTGTTTCGTGGGCCAGCCAGCGATCAGAGGATGCTACGGATCACATGCTTTCTACATTTGTACCTCATTTCTGAGTTTTTCCAGCTCTTCATCTCTCTCTGTAATCAAGGCACTAGTAACACTGATGGATTTCTGTAATGAAGCTCTCTCTTCATCAGTTTCTTTTTTTAACTTGGCTTCTCTAAAAGAGAGGGTCAAACAATTTCAGAAGAGTCGTTCTATTAAAAAAAAAATCATTTCTAAAAAAAAAAGGATTAGCAGCAATGGGGCTTTCTGGAAATTTAAATATCATTTCATTTAGTTGAGCAACGTTTTCTATTTGGCGTTAATGACTGGGGACTTTACAACAGTGAAACAAAGTGAAAAGTTTTACCTAGGTAGATTCATGCCAGAATCTGCACATCATCATATCCATTTCAGTTTTTTTTTTTTTTTAATGATGTTAATAGGATTGGGAGATAAAGAATTGAAAAGGGAAAAAACGGGTTGCAGATGGTGAGCCTAAATTGGTTATTTCTAGGAACAGTAGTTAACAAGCTACAAAAACACATGCAAAGCTCAAACACACACAGTTGTCATGCAAAGCAGGGATTGTGCTGGAATTATCGGTTGGTCCTCCCTAAATTCTGTTAATTTAAACTTCCATGGAGGGCCACTATGGAGCCTTAGCTGAGGTTTAAAATTTAGAATTCACGGAGGTTAAAACATTAGAAAATTAAAATTAGAAAATTGAGTCAATGAAACATCTACAAGCCAACAACCATGCTCGGAGAGCACCAAGGACTCTTCAAAAGTAGTTTCGGAGTTTGGTTACAAGGCTGAGATGAGGCCTGAGAAGTGACGCGTGTGCTTGAAGAAATCTCATTCTTCTATGGAGGGAGCAGCCAATAGATATGGAAGAAGGGAGGAGGAAAATGAAAGACAAGAGTCCCCTGGGGATCACGGCCTTCATATTCTTCTACCACTGCAGCCGGTGCTGTGAGACAGCACTGAAGAGGCTCCTGTTCTCGCTGTGGCTATTGCTGCTGCTATTACAATTTCGACATGGGGTAAACGTCATTAGGCAAAGCTTGAGGAACTGACAGATGGGGCCTGTGAATTTGAGAATCCTTCCACTTTCTCCAAGGCTGCAGCGAGCCTTCTCCGGACATCATCCAGAAGGCCCCTTTTCTAAAACTTCCACCAAGTAAGAATGGGAAAGCATGGTGTTAATTCCTATCTGCTTCCACAGGGCCTGCTCAGAAGATATCCCCGGAGTTGCTTTATGTCCCTCCCCAAGAAAGGAACAGTTATTAGCTATGCAAACTAAAATCTAGCAAAGGGAAAAATGAGGGAGAGCGATCATGCACACCCAAACAGAGCAAAATGCAGATTTAAAGAAGGGGGCATCAAGGGGCCCAAAGAGAAGACAGCTAGGTATTCTTGGATCTACAGTTAGAGAGAACCACAATAACCAGCAGGGGAAATACGGCAGGATTGTTGCTGTCATCCAGGATAACTAGCAAACAAGCAATAATGGGCAGACGCATCACAGAAGTCCTTTCAGAAGCTATGCAGATGTTCATTCTCGGTCATGGAAGCAGCAAGGGGAGAATCTGGGATGTACAGACACAGAGGCACACCACATCACAGCTGGCTGAGATGCTTTTGTAAAGCCGAGAGAGAAGGCTACTGTTCCAAACAGAGCAGCTCTCCTACAGATCAGAAACGCTGTGGTTTTGTTCCAGGAAAAATCAGTGACATTTCAGCCTGACTGCAGAGCACAAAGGGAACCTTTTTGTCAAGGATGGACCAACTGGCTGCTAAAGGAACAACAAGGAGCTTGGCAAAATGGCTGGGTCTAGCTGGGCTAGAAAGTGAGTGGGAGGGTGGTCTGGGGTGGGCCAAACCCCAACAGGCCTGCTAGAATTGAATGGTGGGCATTCAGGAACTCTGTGGGTCGGCTGATCTGCATGCAGGTAAGCTCCACGTTTATGAAGACGCAGAAGGGTCTTACTGAGGACATCTTGCCCATGTCAGCTCATTTGGAAATGTCAAAAGATCTACATGAGCCTCCTGCTAATCTTCAGGGCTAGGAATCTGATTAAGAATGATAAGAAAAGAACTAATAATATGCCAATCTTTGCATCAGATGGGAAATGTTTGTGCTTCTGGGGCAACGTGGGAAACTCCTAAACGTGGGGAAGCCGTTGCTAAAGGGTGCTTGAGATAAAATACACAGGAACTGCAGATGATAGACCCTTCCTTAAAAGAGGCATCCTGTTGCCACTGGAGAACAGAGAAGAGGAATGCCTCTTCTAAAACAACAGCTGTGTGCATCGTCGAAAGACAAAGCAAATGACTACTGCTTTATCCAGACGATGAATTTGATTACTCAACTTACAGTCTAATCACACAATCTACATAAACACTAACATCAACCCCAACAGACCTCTCCTATTTCCCCCCAATTTACTCTCCCATGAACCCTTCCAGAACATCTCAAATCGAACTGCCAACCCAAAACCCCACCTGATACCTGGAAGAGCTGAAGGTTTTATTCTCCTTCTATTCTATTCTCAAATTCAGGTAAGCGAAGACCCAACCAGGAGGGTTGTGGATTGATAGATAAGGGCACCAAATTGTCCCGGACAATCTCCATCAACATTTATTTCACGCTCAGCAAGACGTGGCCAGCCCAGGCTTTTTTTTGGCTTTTGTTAAACTGGAAGAGGTTTGCTGATTGTGAGCCATACACACTTGCATCCATGTGCATTGCATTTGTTCTATTTTTACACCCACCCACCCACACACACACACATGCAGATCCCAGCTGTTTGCAAGCTCATTCATGCAAAGAAGCCACATCAGTATTCTTATAAAAATAAAGAGCAGTTACTCTCAACTCAAGAAGCGTAATTTCATGGATGAGAAGACCCACTTAAAAACAGCTTTGGTTCAAGAAGGAAGGATCCATATTCATTTTAGACAGTTACGTCAAGATAATATTAACTAAAAGGTGCACAGGACTCAGTCCATCAGGCGGATCTCTTGAATAGGTCTCTTATAATCAGTAAGATTCACTCCACCAAAATGACGCGATGTGTGCCCTTCTGTGTGCTCAGGAATCATTTCTGAAGATTGGTTTGGTAACCATCTCTGGGCACAATCACAAGAGTTAATTCCAATAACCTCCTGCTAGAAATACCACCCAGATTCTTCCCTTGCCACAAAAGAAATAAAAGAAATTCTAATAATGAAGCAAGTACCTTAAAGTAATACTGGGCAAGCTTTAAAAATGCAAGATAACGAGAACCACATGTTAGAAACATGGAAGAGAAATGCAAAGTACAGTAAAGGAAGAACTAAATTTGCACTGAAGTGGATTCTGCTTGTTATTAAAATATATATATATATATATATAAAGATTTAATACTGCCGAGTATTTTACAAAACCAAAAAAAATAAAATAAAATCAAAACCAGAAACAAACCAAAACCAAAAGCAAGACACGGAGGTAACAAAAGGCAGCCAAAAATATGTACAACAATTTCATTGGAGGAAAAAAAAAGTTATTTATTGTAACGTGGATAGACTTTCTTTAGTCTTACCATTAAAGACACACAGATATAGCAAGGAAGCAAAGGTAGGAAAGGGAAGAGAGATTTTGAGAAAATAGCGCAGAGCCAAGTCAGACAGTTAGCAAATCCACAATGAGTCTAAGGCAGTGTGTCTCAACCGTGGCCACTTTAAGATGGGTGGACTTCAACTCCCAGAATTCCCCAGCCAGCATGCCGGGCTGAAGAATTCTGGGAGTTGAAGTCCACACTTCTTAGAGTGGCCAAGGTTGAGAAACACGGGTCTAAGGAGCTGAAGTAACTCCGAATCTGAATCCTAGCCATACAAACGAAACTTTGGCTGAATAAATAAGTTTTAAAGAATAGAATACATGGTATCATTCATGTATATATGAATGAATGAATGAACGAACGAACAAATGAATGAGATATTTGGTGCCTTCAGGCCAATATGACTCCTGACAATTGCCTGGACTAGCCCTTAAAGTTTTCTTGGCAAGGTTTGTCAGAAGTCGCTTGCCCTGGCCTTCTTCTTCCTAGAGCTCAGAGAGAAGGACTGGCCCAAGGTCGCCCAGCTGGCTTCATGACTAAGGTAGGACTAGAACTCACGATCTCTTGGTTTCTAGCCTGGTGCCTTAACCACGACACCAAACTGGCTTCCATCTATCTATCTATCTATCTACAGGTAGTCCCCAGGTTAAGAACGAGTTCCATTCCCAAGGTCTGTCCTTAAGTCGAATTTGTACATAAGCCAAAACAGTGTTATTGTATAATACTGTTTAAGTAGTACTTGTGTAATGAACTCAAGCCATTATGAATTTAACTTGAACCATTGTGTATTTAACTCGAATTTTGCTACAATAGGCTCCGTTCTTAACTATGGGTTGTCTATAAGGCAGGCGCTCTTACCCTGAGGACTACCTCTATCTATCTATCTATCTATCTATCTATCTATCTATCTATCTATCTATCTATCTATCTATCTATCTATCTATCTATCTATCTTCCGAAGCCAACCTACACATTTGTTTCACAATTATCACTTGTCCTGCAAGTGATTCAGCTATTTTTCCTGTGAGCAGTGTAACTCTTAGTTGCTAGCAGTGTTAGTTGTGCAGCATTGACACAGGGAATTAAGAAAGCAGCAATAAGAATCCACAATACTGTAATTGTGGGTGTTTTCCTGAGGGCAGTGTGCCTTCCTGAATTAGCCATGTCCTCAGGGGCCGTGAGAGAGGGTTTCCTTTTCAGGTTCGTAAGTTTAGCAATGATTTGGGGGGAAAAAAGAAACACTCCATAAAGAATGTAGAAGCTGGACAAGGGGAGGGCTTTGAAGATTTGACACATCTCCACAGAAATCCCCCAGGGGATGATAAAAACGGCTCTGAATTCAGTGGGGATTGAAATGCAGAGAAGAGAAGACATCAGCTAAGTGCTGAGGATGAGCTAAATTGTATTAAAGTCTCCAGAAATTAATGTTTCCATCCACATTTCAGCGATGGGAAGGATATAACTGCTTGCATGTGTCTTTAATTTAATATTCCACATGCAGAAGATGTTTTGAACCACCAAGGTGCAACAGTAGGATTATTTTAACTCCAGAAGAGTAGCAAGAATCAAAGAAATTTATCAGAGATTTATGTTCTGCTATTTTTCCTTCTAATTGCCTACATACCCGAGAGCTTGTGCAGATAAACTTACCTTTTTTTCATCTCCAACAACTGGTTATTGAGGACCGATCTCTCTTCTTCCAGCTGGAAGACAAAAAAAGCGAGAAAGGAAAAAAGGGCATCTTTACTCTGCACATGAAGGCCCCAGTTTCAGACATTCTGAACCTTCGGGTAACTTCTTGGGATTTTGTGGTAAAATCACCTATTCCACATCTTTGGGAAGGGGAAAAAAGGCTTTCATTTAGCCGCCTCCATGGGATTTTGCAACCCGGTTGTGCAGCCAACTCCCCCTTGTTAAAATTTAATTCATTACTAATTTCATATTTAGAATGGCCGCCCATTCCAGAAGACTCTGGCAGGTTAAAATCTCCAAATATAGAGTTAAAAAAAGTTACAAGCGTGACACAAAACAGGGCAGCCCTGACTGAAATCAACCACAGCAATAAAAGCACAACACACACACGCCTGTCTCACTCCTTGATTCTCATACACTTTTTTTACTATTAAAACCTAGCTTTAGAGGGCCCTCTTCCAATCGTATTCCTCCCACGCCCTTCTTGCAGGTCCCTGGGGCCCTCTTCAACCCTTAAGCCACGTAAGGCAGTTACTGCTCATGCGAAAAGACCAAAATACAAGATGATGCATAATTCAGGGATCTGGAACATCCATTCTATTAGACCAAGAATATGCCAGCATCTAACATAATCATCCCAGCAATGGCACAACTCGCCCTGCCAGGTTGAGGGGCAGCCCACGGCCTCCCCCACACCAACAGGCTACGCCGGGGGCTGTACCCACGCTCAGGCATGCCCCCCGCAACAAACTCTCCAATCTTTTCTAATCTTACGCCGTTGCAATGTGCAGAAATGGGCTTCCTAAGAACTGGAGTTCTACACCCGCAGGCTGTCTTAAAAAGAGGGTGGTAAAAGTTGGAAGGCGTAACGCCTCTAGGCAGCAGGAGGACCGCGAATGCTCTATCGACAACGCTTCTGACTGCAGAGGATCTTGGAAGGTGCCCCTGAATAAGCCATCCTTGGAATGATACCTCCAGCCCACCTTAAGCGCTCGGACCCAGAAGGAGAGATGTTGGGCATGTCATGCCCTCATCTTACCTGACTTCTATCCCCTCCACCCTTCGGAGGGAGGAAAGTCTCTAGTTTGACATCTCCTCCTGACAGTCAATTTTTCCCCATTCATAAGTAGCCCCCCTCCCAACTCTTCTTGCTCCCAAACAGCAAACAGCGTCCCCTGAGCCACCAACTCCTGCCCATCTGGGTCTCATGGGAAATTTCTTGAACAGAAAATACCTTCTTACTACCCCCAGCCGTCGTGGCGTGCAGACTTTTTAAACGGGTTTTGGTCGGCCCCCGTGGAACCCCTCTGCAGCCCCACTGCCGAGTCTGCGGGTTGCTCCTTGCTAGCTAAGGTGCTCGGGCCCTCGCCACGGCGGCTAAACAAGCCCACCCAGCGATTCCATCATAGCTCCATGACTACCACGCCTCCTGGGGACGCTAATTTTTCTGTTGTCCTCTCTTACCTCCCTATTTTAAGCCTCTTACAAATTAAATTTAAAAAGAAAAAAAAGACGGTCTGCCAACGACATCCACCAAGTGGTTGAATAGTAAGAAGTCCGGCTTGGGAGGTTATGGCCAAATCTGGGCGCATGCTTAGTGTGAAAAGCTAATTAGAGCCGAGCACCCTGCTGACGGTGCAAAGCGAGGAAAAGGCCAGACCTGTTGCAAAATGCTGAGACGTGATGCCTGATTGCGCCTGAGCCTTGTCTGGGTGTCCCAGTTTCTGCTCAGCTTCACAGCTGCCACCAGCCTAACTATTGTCCCCAAAGGGAGACGGCAGAGCTCCAGGGGGTTTTGCACTTTTTTCAGGGGGTGGCAACCCCACGGCCTTCTCTTCCCCGTTCCTTGCCACGGCCTGACTCGGAGAGGCAAAAGCATACAGATCCTCAGGGCAGATCCTCATTCAGCTTTACTGTGGCACGGAAGGGGCGGCTGTGCCTGGTTCACAAAGCCAAAAAGCCACGGTTGTTCAAAAACGTGGTTGGCTGAAGAAGGGCCAGGGAGTTGCTTGGCATCTAAGGCTAAGCCACCGTGCGCAAGCTGAAGACAAACACGGGTAACCCCAACTGCTGCCTCATTTGACTGTAATGTTAAGACCATGAGAAGCACCCTCAGGCGGATGGCTGCTTGCATCCATTCTCCGCTCCTCTACAAGGAGATCAGAAGCTCTCACTTCCTTTTTAGATCAATCAAACTTTAGCCCGTTGCCAAGACCCCAAACTGTGGTTTCTCTCAACTATGTTGATGAAAACATTACTAAGGTTAACGAATAATGGTACCCACCACATTCCTACCAGTGCACAGTACCATCACTGCAAGCCCCAGCTGACCTCAGTTTTCTTTAAATGTATGGTCAGAATTCATCTATAACTTGAGCGCGACGCTCAAAAGCTGAACCAGAGACTCCATTCTCGGAATGGAGAACACGTGGACTTTTTCAGATGAACCTGAACTACTTCTCCCAGCCTCCTTCAGCACTGTCCACGTTGGACAGAGCTTCTGGGAACTGGAGTTCAGCAACCAGGTTGGGCGCCCCACCGAGCGCTTTGCCAGCACCTGATATGATCTTGGACTGCTTCCATTCATTTCAGCGGAGCTCGAATGTGAATCACACCCACACACACTCTCTCTCGTACACACTTTTGCCAAAGCTGGAGAGAGAATGTTCCTAAATCTCCTCACTCAAAGCCATTTCCTTCTGGTGCAAATTAATAGTGCTTCTGGGTGTATATCTGCAAAGGAGCCAGTTTTGCAAAGCTGCTCTGGAAAATCATTCCACTAAAAGTCCGATTATAGAGGCTTTCCATAATATAATCTGGAAATGTTTAAAAAGCCGTGAAGTCAGACTGTTCTCTGAACCCGTCTTCCTTGGTCTGGGATTCTCTCTCTCGACTGGGAATTCTGGGAACTCGTGCCCTAAGACATCTGGGAGGTGCAGGCAGGAGGTCATGCAACTCTCACCCCACCCTACCCCAGTTTTGGGTTGAGGAGATATCCGGGTATCCTAAAACAAAGGGCTTGCTTTTGTGCAGCCAGAATTAATTTTCCTTTGCTGGTGAAAGCTCCCACCTCCCTAAAAACTTCATTCCTCCCTGAGGTGAGCGTGATTCCTGGTCGCCTTCTAGCAGCGCCTAACCGGCCCAGCTGCTCCCCTGGAATTTGCCTTGCAGAAGGGACATTCTTTAAAACACAACCCCGTTTGGCAGCTCCGCTCTCTGGCTTGCCCGCCTCCACGTCCAGCCGCCCGGCCGCTGGGCGACCTCCTAAGGCCCTCTTCCCCCTCTCGCCAAACCTGGAAATCAGAGGCCCAGACACCCACCTTTTGGTGACCTGCGAGTTCCCCTTTTCCCAGCTCTCCGGCAAGTTTAACGTTCTCTTCTTGCAAGACTGCAAGCTGGTGGGATTTCTCCGCTTCTGCCAGTTTTAGCACTTCTCTGGAAAAGACGGGGAATGCATGGTTACCATAGGAACGAGAAGGGAGGAAAGAGAGGGGGTGAGATGGGGAAAAGAGATCAGCGTTGCAGCTCGCAAAGAGCGTCACGGCTTGATGAGGTCTTTCATAAAGAAACAGCCCACCTCCCCTCCCTCCCCTTGGTCCCCCTCCACCCCAAGCATCTGTCCCCCAAGGCAGGTTTTCTATTTTTTTTTTCATTACGCAGCTCACACCCTTGGAAACCAACAGTGCAAACTGAATCCATGCGAAATCCTTAAGTGCTTGTGCAAGTCCCCAGCCACGGATGGGTAGGAGGCTCATTGGGGTAACTTGCTGGATGGGAACCCAATCGCCCAATGGCTTGGGTTGCAGCCGGAACGAGGCAGGGTGGCCGGATCATAAAAGCGCCCTTCCCAAACATCCCAAACGTTCACACGGGCTCACAGACACACTGTGAAGCCACGGCTGAACACAGTGGCCCCAACGCTTGAAAGGGTGGCCCCAATGCTTGATAGCAAACGTTCCTCTTGTGGATGAAACGGCCACGCATCTCCTAACTCGGACTTATACAAAAATGTGTTCGGGTGGGACCTCGGTCCCTCTCCGTCACAGGCACGCTAATTTCCAAGGCAGAAACGCTGCGATATTTTTAGTGACAAACATCTCCCTGCGTCCTGCTCGGTGCATCTCCGTGTCCTACATTTCAGTAAGTGAATTAATATGGTGCCAAATTAGATTTCTTGCCTTCAAGATTGGCCGGAGTGAGCTTGTGTGAACAGTTGGATTTTAAAACCCTGTACTAAAATCTAATAAAAGAAGTCAACAGAGATTGCAATCTGCTTTCCTGCCTGCTGCGTGCAAATTCCATCCATTTATTATCCACCTATCTATTTTTAGAAGAGATTTTACGAGCTCAGTCTTTTCAAGTTGCATGGCATACGTTTGTAGGAAAAAATAATCATTTTTTTGCACATACTGCCCACACACACCTGAGGACTAAGACTGTATTTTCTATAGTGTAAAACATAAAGGAAGTCTGAGAGCAACAACTTCTTTCATTAAGAAAAAGCCATTTCAAAGGCTGTAATTCTCTGCTGCGTTGTAAAAGATTTAGTTTCATATACGGATCTCGTAACAATCTCAGAAAGAATATTCCCAGTTCTACCAATCAAGGTAAAAGAGATGCAACACCCACGATAATTTTAGAATAAGTATCAAACAACTTCCCCCATTATTGCCATGAGCATCAGATGAACACTTTTGATTCTCTGACATGTAAAACCACAAAACAGCATAATGAACACGGTTTGTCATATATAAATTGGGGAGTCCTCTTCTAGTGGACTCCTTGCATAAAATCTGCCATTGGTAATTAAAAAAAGTATGCATGGCATTTCCTCAACATGTTGTTAAGATTGGAGAAGATACACAAGGGGAATGAAGGAATAGTTGGAAAAACAGCGTCCTCTTTAGCGGATTTGGAAAAAAATAGCAATCTCTATGCAGATTTGTCTGTTTCAAATGCAACCACGTGGACTCTGTCCTTACACCCAGAGGCAGCTGCAAATTCTGGCTATTTTTGTTCTACACACAGCTTTAGGAATGCTGACTTCTTTCCACATTTCCTCTCAGTGAATGTCAGAGACGGCAGAGGAAACGGAATTCTCCCAGGAAAAACGGACTCTGCAAATAGGTGATTCAAGTCTAAAGGCAAGCTAGGGGACATTGAAGCGGGCGGATTCTGAAACGTAGGATTCTTTCCACAGAAAGGGGAAAGGGAAGGACCGTTGTCATCACGCCTACAACTGCCAAGGGAAAAGCAACCTATTTCTTTCAGGTCATACAAAGAGAAATAAATTATATATAAAATCATACCCCTGGAACTGGGAAAGAAAAGCTACTTGAGGGCAAACAACTTCCCCTTGTCATTAGCATCCTCTGGCAGCTATTACCACTCGCTCATTTTGGTTATGCCTGTAAGCTACCATGTGTAAAGTTACTGCCAGAATTAGCAGCCTACAGAGCAGTGAAAAAACAACAAAGAGATAGTTGAGTTGGGGTGTGTGTGTGTGTGTGTGTGTGTGTGTGTGTTCACAACTGGGATGGGGTTGGGAGGAGAAGCAGAGAACCGTCTCCTTTAAAGGAGTCATGGGCAAGAGGGTCAACTGTGTTTGGTCTGCAATCATAAAAAACCCCCCTGCACACTGCATTAAATGTCTCATGGTGTAAAACCACCATCATAAAGAGAAGGCAGTGGGCTTTCCTGAGCCAACTGCTACATGTTTTACGAAAATGGCATTTTAGCTACTGATTTTTTAAAAAATCCAATAATGCCCCTTCCTACGCCAGGAATAAACATTTGCTCTCCTGAATGCAAGTCTCACACGAGTAGGATTTTCAAAGAACAACAGGGTGACGCACTCACAGTTCTTTTCTAATTTCTTCCAGCTTTTTGCTCTCGGTGTTCAGACGTTCCTGAGACTTGGAAAGCTCCTCCTGGTTCTTTAGGTGGCTTTCTTTAAGAGTGCCCAACTTGAGAGAAAAAAAGGAGAAAAAAAACTTAAGAGTTCCCAGGAGTGATGAACGGTGACCCAATTTGTCTTGACCCTTTTTCACTTCTATTAAAGCAGCTGCAAGTATCAGATGGGTGGGGATTCAGGAGACCTTCATTAGTGGGAAACAAGGAAATACCATCTTTTTAGGGGGGGGTTGTTGGTCCTGGCCCAAATCCCTTGCCATGCTTGTCTTTCCCATGTTTTCATTTTGCCTGTGAGGACTCGGCATCAGCCTGTAAGTCTCGTCTGTCCACAAGTACTTGGGGATATGTTTTATTTCATAACGGATCATCTCTGGCTACTTTTGAAGAATTAGAACGGGTGGGTGGATTTCAACTGTAATCTCTGTCTGTCTGGAAACCAACCAATGGATTTCACAAATATCCCGACTCTTCTTTCACTGATTCTCAATTTCTCAAGAGAACAAGGGGAGAAACAGGAAATCCCTTTACTAAAATCTGTGGGGATCTCCATACTAACGATTTGCCACTGACCTTGCACTAGATCTCTGCCCACTTAGTCTACACTGGCCGCCTTGGACCAGCAGCTTCTCACTAGGGGTCGGCCCTCCGAGGCAATCCATTCAAGAAGCACAAACCATGGGTACTATCACTACCTTTAATTGTAAGGTTAGAATAATCTTGCAAGTCTGAAAGTATTTCTCCCCTCCTTTACTTTTACTCTCCAGAAAACCAGGGAGGGTCCCTTCTGAGGCCCTTCCCACACCCTCTTTCCATCTGTGGGCTGAGATATGTTTTCCATGACGGTTGCCTAGCCTGCGGCTCTTCCTTCTGTCTCCCAAGGCCATTCCCACAGATGGTTACACCAGGCGGAGAAGAGTCCTTCCTATCACTTGTCACCTGAGCCTTTCTCCTCACTGGAAATGCTGGGAATTGAACTTGGAGCCTCCTGCATTCAAAGCGTGGTTTCTGCATGCATTGGGGTGTCCAAAATTGGAATCATGACACTGACCTGTCCCTAACCAAGGGAAGGATTACAAAGCTCAGATTTAATTTTATTTACCTCCCTTTTCAGCTTTTGGTTGACCTGTTTGGAATCTTCTAAGGAGGCCAAGGTTTCCATTTTCTCTTTATGAAGAGCATCCTTCTCTCTGGCCACTTGCTCAACTATCTGCAAAGCGTCTTCTGCTGTTTTTGCAGTCTAAAAGATGAAAAAAAAGTTATGTCAAGTCCTGGGCAAAACTATGTTGGATGATGGTGGGAAGTTTATCATTGGAGGGCAACCTGGTTTCCTATAGAGCTCTGTCTCATAAGCTGAGCCACTGTGATGATGGCTAAGGATTATGGGAGCTGTAATCCAAGCTATCTGTAGGTCTCCAGGTTGCCTACCTCTGTTTGCTCTACTCAATAGTATTTCTCTTGAATAAGCAGCGCTAAAATCCAGTCGCTGCTGGTGTCTAAAAACAATCCCTCTGGTTCCAGCGTTTACATGCCAGAAGCACAATCTAATCTACTGACAGTTTTGTTACATGCAGAAATTAAATTACAATCCCATGCTAGTATTATTCAAGTGAAATAACTGGCCCAAATTAAATTATCTTTGTGAATTTTTAAAAAAAATTACTCTTAAATAATAATTCAGGAGAGAGCTTCACTACCAACAGACTTGTCACTTGCACTCTTTCTTTTAAGAATATTGATAATCAGAGGATTAGCAACTGTGCCTCTAGATTTGTGAGACAAGAATGGGTGGGGGCCAGAAGAGATAATTGAAATATTTCAATAAAGCCCTCTAGTTTTAAGATCAGGCTAGTTAAGAGAGAAAAGCCTTTGGAATAAACCTCTAGGTTTTATGAAGTAGCGCGAGGAATGATTCAACATTCTAATGTGTCCTCTGTTGGTGGTGAACGCAAACCCTACTGTGAATAAAAAGGTAACAGGCTTCGCAACTTCCACTTTACAAACAATTCTGGTTAGAAACTGCCTCCCTGTCTTTTGGTCCAATTGGAGTAACAAGGGATAGAGGGAGGCATAACCATTAGTTCTGGGATACCAATTTAAAGTTAGACCACTTCTCTGATGCTATGGGTCTGCATTCAATTCGGTACCTACATGCCTTTTTATTCACAATTGAAAAGTTGACTTGAATATTCAGCAGCTGTGAGACCCTGAAAACTCTTTTCTCACTCGCCCGTGACATCATGACAGCTGTTGAAGAGAGGTGTCCTCCACCCCACAAATCTAACAAATCAACTTAATTTGCTATCGATAAGAGAATTAAGAAGGGCGTTCAGAGGGAGCTAAGGTGCTCGATCGTGCAAAATTAAGTGCAGACACAGGAACAATTGTCATTAGTGGTTGGTGTTAGTAACCATAACTGGACTGATTTAGCAGTTTCGATACCTCATATCTTTGCATTACCGCCTGTGCCTGCAGACTCTCAATTTCTTCCAGTTTCAAGACAAGTTCATCCCTTTCCCTTTGAAGGGCCTGATTTTTGTTCTGAGATGCCAAGAGGTTGGCAGACATTTCACTGTTGGCCTGGGCTAGAAGCGTTATCTCCTCGTGCAGTTTATAGTAGTCCTCAGAGAACTTCTCTTTCTCCTTCAAGATCTCTTCCTTTATGGTGATGAGGTCCTTCTGCTCAGAAAGCAGAATCTCATTCTCCTGAAGCAGCTTACCCCGTTCCAGTTCGCATATTTCGTGGCTGGAACGGAGGTCTTCTAGGATCTTGGAGACGCTGCTGTGCAGTTCCTGCAATTCTGCTTTGGACTTGGTCAGAGCCGCAAACTCCTTCTTCAACTTCTCAATGTTGGACGCAAGCTTGTCTGTCTCAGCACTAAGGATCTCCTTTTCCTTCATAATTTCTTCTAGCTTGGATTCACTCTTTAATTTCTCCTGGTTCAGTTTATCCCTTTCTACCAATAACTCTTTGTTTTTTATTGTCAGTTGTTCTTTCTCTCTCTCTAAGTGACAAACAGCGTTATGGAGTTGAGTATTCTCTACCACAAAAGACTCCTTCTCCATCTTACGACCTTCCCGCTCTATTGTAAGGTTATTGTAGATGGTTTTGAGCTCTTTACTCAACTTCTGGCATTCTTCTTGCAACTGAACCTTTTCTTTACTCAGTATTTCCTTCTCAGAAGAACTGCTTTTAAATGAAGCTGCTAGGAGTTGTTTAGCATGAAGCAAGGCAGAGTATTCATTTTCCAACACTGTTTTGGCACTCTGGGTCTCTTTTAAGATTTTGGACAGCTCACCTTTATATCTGACAAGCTCTTGGTTCTCTTCTATTTTCTGGTCAAGCTCTCGTTTTAGTGTTTCAGCACTACCCTGCAGTTTGGCCTTATCTTGGACCAGCATCCTCTTTGCAGAAATGTCTAACTCGTGCTTCTTCTTCAATTCACACAAGGCTTTGGTGGCAGACTGCTTCTCAGCAAGGAGCTCGGCACATTTTGCTTCCAAACTGGCCTTTTCCTTTGCAAGGCTCTCATGCTGTTTCTTGAGCTTTGAAGACTTCTGAGAAGCCACCTCCTTCTCTGCACTCAACTGGCTTAGCTTCTCATTCAAGGTTTTCTCAGTAAGGGCAGCTTCTTCCAATGTTTTAGTCAGCTTTTCTGAAATGTTTTTGTTTTCATTCAAAAGTTCTTCCCTTTCACCCACAAGTCTCCTCTCGGAGGAAGTCAAGGCTTCCTTCTCTTGCAATAACTGAATAAGCTCAGAGTCTGTTGATGCCCTGCTAGCCTTAATCTCTTCCAGAAGTTTTGAAAGACTAGCATGAGAGGCCTGCAGTTGGTTCTTGTCTTTGGTGACCTTTTTAAGCTCTTTATCGGACAATTCAAGTTCAGACCGCAGGCCCTCACTTTTCAACCCAAGCTTCTGCTTTTCATCTAGAGCCTGCTCTAAGCTTTTGCGCATCTCCTCCTGGATTTTCAAGAGAGTCTCCTTGTCTGACTGCAGATCCTGGCTAGTCTGCTGCAGACTATCCCGTTCCCTTTTCAAAGCTACATGCTTGTTTTCCAGATCCAAATGCTTGCCCAAGAGTGAGTCCCTCTCAGCAGCCAAGGTGGTTACTTCCTGAAGCAGCTCTTTTTGGTCTCTGGCCATATCTTCATAAGAGCTCTTCAGCTTCTGAATGACATCATCCTTATCTTTGAGAAGAGCAGCGTTCTCCTCTGAAAGCTTTCTCTGACAATCCTCCAGTTCTTCCCTTTGGCTGACATGCTTCCGACACTCCTGGGCCAAGGCCTCGCTGTGGGCTTGGAGCTCATCCACTTGATGGAGGAGAGCTGTCTTTGAAGTACGTAGAGCATCGTTCTCTCTCGTTATCTTAAGAAGGTCATCTTGGGCGGCCTCTATCTCCAGGAGCAACTTCCCTTTTTCAGAGAGCAGTTCATCGTTCTTCGCTTTCTCTTGGTGGGTTTTGTTCTCCGCTTCTTGTTTTTCCTTTACAATTTTTTTATTCTCCAGGTTAAGCTCTTCATTCACTGTCCAAAGTTTTTCCTGATCTTGTTTTAACAACCCAATCTTGGACTCCAAGTCTACCAGCTTTGATAACAAGGAACCTTTTTCTAATTTTAAAGCATTCCCCTCCTGTGCCAAGATTTCCTTCTCTGATATCAAAGCCCTCATCTCGTCTGACATTAGTTCAATCTCTTTTCTGGCTGTGGCTAACATAGAGGTTAACGACTAAATAAACAAAGGACAGGGAGAAAGGGAAACAAAACACAAAAAATAAAGTCAAGCAGACTAATGTGGATTAATAAATAGTGCTACTATTCCAAAATAAGACTAAACGTGTTTATATATTGACACACACATAGGCCTGCTTAAGACTCTCCAAATCATTGGGGAGGTTGCAGTGAACGCTTCCATGTAATAGTGAGGCATTACATCAACTGCTAAGAAGTGAGATTCAATGGCTCTACCATCTCATCCTCCTCTTGCCAACTCAGGAATGTGCATCAAGCAAGCTGAGTGACCTTGCCCCAGCCTAACTGTTGAGGTTGGCTTTGGCCTTCTTCCACACCTGAGGAGGAGTTCAGAACAACCTTCTCCAGGGTCAAGCTTTCTCCTAGCCAGGGAACACAAAATTTGGGTGGCACTCTTTGTAAGAAGTGGCAGCCATCAGGGGACAAGACTGGAGTAGGTGGGTTGTTATGAACTTCAGATCACAAAAGGTTGAGAGCCCTCTCAAATTGGCCAGAAATGAATTTGTGGACTTGCTATCTGCCTGGTGGGAGACAGGTCAACAAATCAGAACTATCTATTGATTTAAAATGGCCTTTCCCAAACTGGTCCTCCAGATGCGTTGTTATAATAATTTTCCCAAATTCCCCAACCCATCACATCTGGAGGCACAGGGCTAAGGAGGAGATTGCTTTGAATGCATTTCTCCTGTCTACTCATTTGTGTTATTATATCCAATCCTGAATTAAAGGATTACTTCAGAAGCATTACAGATCGCACCAATTCCAAAACAGAAAACATCTTAACTCCAGAATTTAGCCTACATTCATCCTTTATGAGGATTTACCATTTTTTCAAGCTTTTACCTGCACCTTACCTTATTAACAAATATGAATCTTATCTCTAATCTGTGTGTCAATATATACACCACATATTCAGGTATAGGAGTTACAAAACATAAAGCTTAAAGCACATTGACAATAATGTGAGATGAATAGCAGAAATAATTTCAAGGAAATGCAGAATAAAAAATTAGAACTGAAACTATTCAAGTCAATAAGGAACATGGTCAATTGCTGTAGGAAGTTAAGCAGTAAGAGATACCATCAAACCCGTCATTTCTAGCAAAGGTTATCCCTTTGAGCAGAATAAGGAGTTTTAAGCAGCCAAAAAATATGTAAAATGCAAACTGAAGAATAGCAAAATCAGAAAGCTCATGATTGGAAGGCCTAAAATTTAGGGGAAAAGCAGGTCCTTCTTTGCATTCTGCGGACCACAGCGCTGGATTCGTTGGCATAACTGCAGCGGACCCTCACTCCCTGATCTTTATTTTCCTAAAATGAATCTCTTCTTCTGACCACTAAAAGGCTTTTGCTCTCAAACCATCACATTGTCAGCAGAGCAACAGCTGAAAGTGACCTTTGGAGAAGCCAATCTCCATACACATGAATGGTCCAAGAGTGACTGCTGGACTGAATGCTGTGGGCTTTCCTGCTAACTGGCTCATAAATATGCCTGCATGGTGTTACTTGTTTTCTCGCGACCTGAAGCCCCACGTCAGACCCTTCATGCATCCCTGAGTGGCACTGCCCTGAGTCACTCTATCTCTGCTGCTGTGGCTCTCTCCAAGGTCTCTCCACCTGACAAGGACATTGCTCCCCTTCTCACCCTCCCCTTGCTGGCTTCTCCTACGCTCAGAAAGACAGGCCGGGCATCCCGGCTCAGCTCCACTTCACCAGGGAGGGCAGAGAGCTGAGGAACCCCACGAGCCTCCACACGCAACGTGAGCCTTCCTCGCAAGGAGGAATTGCCTGGCTAATGCTGAAGAAAGACGCGCACCTTTGCATGCTCCACTTCCTTCCTTAATTCCTTGGCCTGCTTCTCTAAGTCACTGTTTGTCTTCTGGGCGCTCTCCAGCAGCTGCTCCTTCTTCTGAAGCTCCTGTTTTAGCTCCTTGATGGCTGCATCGTGCTTGGCAGCCATTTCAGATTGCGCTTTTTCGTTTGCGGCCTGCAGATTTTTATACTGCTCTTGGTTAGCTGCTATTTTCTTCTCCTGCAAAAACAGGCAGAGGAATGGTTGAGCACAGGACTTTGTTCCCTCCCTGTTTCATTAGCCATAGCTAAGGCAGCGCGGGCCCTCTCGAACCCCATGCCTCCTGAGATCCGGTTGGCCCCAACTTAAAAATGGGGCTGCTTTCTCAGGCACGGCGATCGGGAGGCTGATTGGGTCCCGAAAATGGATGCTCTTTTATAGTGACTGTTGTTGTGCTAGCTGCCAACAATGCCCGTTTAGCATTAATATTACTATCTAACTTTTGTTGAGTTTTAAACCTATGTTAGCTGTCCAGGGTTGCGTTGGAAGACAGGCAGCTGTACAGATCGATTAAAATAAATAAATAAATAGATAAATGAATAGCATTCTACAATTAGTCTCTTAGCAAGTCAAAAACATTTCCTGGCATTATTATGGGACACAGATATTGGCCCTGGGGCATCTTGACCTTTTTTGATATCTCCCCCCACCCCCGGCAGACCCCTGCTAAAGATTCTCCTTCACCTGACCGTCACCTCCTCTTTCAAATATTCTAATACTGAATCGTTTTAGGTGTTATAATGAGATGGTAATTTGGTATTATTTTTTTACATGTACTTTTATACCAAACAGTCAAAGGGACTCACGGCAAAAGAATACAAAGCCGTTTTATAAAAGCTTGCCCTGCTCCAACCCTCTATAAATTCTGAGATTACAGAATATCAAAACAGTATCAGCATAAAAGCAATCAAAAAGAAGAAGAAATAAACTCAAATCAAAAAGGCTCTGCATTTTAACTTTAAACAAGAACTAGACAGAATAGCTGGGGAAGTGGGTCACTCTACCAGTTACAGGAAAAAATATGGTATGAAAACCAGGTACATTGCAGTCAGAACACACTGTAAAACTATTTCCCTAGATTTTTGTTTGTTTATTATGTATGAAAAATGGGGAGAACCCGAGTCGAAAGGATATTATGTTTTCTACTGCACCCAGTATCGTACTGAGAATTATCGTAAGAATGACATAAAAATCAACATATTACACTTTCTACCGTATCCCGCTTTGCATCTGTAAGCAGGCGTGTTTGTGTTAAACCAATAAGGATTTCTTGATTACTTAAAGTTTGACCTCTTTGGGGAAATCTCCCCCACCCAGCCCAACAGCTTTCTGTCCCCTGTTCTTACCAGGGTGTCTAATTTCTTCTGCATTTTTTGCTGTTCATCCTGATGCCGTGTGTGCATTTCTTCCTGCTTTTTTTCAGCCTGACGGGCCGCCTGCTCCAAATTTTCCTGCAACTGAGCGGTGCCTGCACTGGCCTTGTTGAGTTGCAGCTGGAGTTCTTCCACTTGCCTAAAATTGACAACAGCAAAATCAGGGCCAGAATGGTGACCCCGGAGGGCTGGGCTTGAGAGTAAGCGAGCTCAGATGGCTAAACCCTTCAAAAGTCTGCTTTTTATGGGCAAGCTTTTGGCTTAATTCTTTAATCCAGACTAAGGAGAGGTAGCATTATTACTGCCTATTCTTCCCCATGGTCTCTGCTATTCTTTCAGAGCGTAAGCTCCAGCCACCAGTTCCTAACTGTTTTATGATCAGAGCGATGGGCAACAGGGCGATTTTTAACACAAGCTTTTCCTGCTTATCCCAGCCCCCGTTCTTCTTCTGCTCCTATTTGATGCTCAGCATGTTCCACAAAGATCACCTGCTTTCCCAAGAAGGGACCACATGAAGTTCTTTGGCTCAATTCAGAAGCCCACAATCAAAACGTCCTTCTCACTTGAGCTACTGGACGTCACTCTCCCTCCCTCTGGAAGGCAGAGTACAAAAACAGAGCACAAGTTCCTCAAGTCCTGGATGCAAACCCTGGCATATCCAGGTAGGGACAGCATTGGAAAAAAATCCTCTCTAAATCCTGGAGGCCCTCCACCAATTTAGGCAATTCTGGACCAACGGTTGACTAGAGATGCCTACTTTGTAATCTAACCATCCAGACCTGAAGTTGTTTGGATTTTTAGCTACCCATCCATGCCCAGTCCACAGATCATACAGACAATGAAAATGCTCAGAGCTGGAGACCAGAAAAGAAAAAGAATGGATAAGCTTATTTTGTTCAAAACAAAAAATATCATCTTCAGCAATATGGAAGACTTCCCCAAGTTATTTATCATAGGGGCAAGAGGGCCGAAAGCATCGAGATGGAAATGGGCTTACTTCTCCTTTAGTCGCAGGGCATCATTCATCTTGGTAAGCTGAGAGGAACTGTCTCCTGAAGACTTCATGATTTCAGCCACATCATTTTCAAGTTTAGTTTTAGCCTCCATCAGCTGCTGCTCCCTGACTTCCCTCTCTCTCAGTGTCTTCTCCATGGCTAAACAAGGAGAAAGACACACGTGCCGTTTTATTAGCCCGTTCAATACAAAACCCTCCTGTCCTTAAAACACAGAGGTAGAAAATATAGGCCTCAAAATAACACACACACACAAATATATAAAAAGCACGCATGTATGTGGTTGATTTTCCAGTGGAAACACTTTCAACATCAAGCTGGGAAACACAAGTCAAAGAAAATCACAAAATCACATTCGCGGCATTGAAAAGTGAAGGAGCAGAAGGGCCGGCCATCACGCAGCCCTGCAGAAACTCAGAATACAAAGGGCTTAAGTGTGATAGGAAGCTGAGTGGAGTTTCTCGACAACCGAAAGGACCGTTTGGAAAGCAGCACCACTGAAGGTGGTTGGGAAGAACCAGAACATCATGGCCTTCTTATGTAACAGAAGGGAAATGAGCAAGACAGGGCCGACCGGCCAAGAAAACTGGACAGGAGACACAGTGGGGTTTTGGACTTCCCACACGCTAGATCTGCAGTGGAGCAAAATTATATGGAACAGATTTCATGATCTACTGGTCACTTCACACATAGGGTTGGTTTGAAAAAGGCCACCTATCATCTACAACAGGGTTCCTCAACCTCAGGAACTTTAAGATGGGTGGACTTCAACTCCCAG